CGTTACCAATCTCAGAAACATGGAATTGACATTCTTTTCTGAAAGCCATGTTAATTTCGAGAAAAATATTTCACTGACTAAAGGGGTGTTTAAAACCTATGCAATTTCTAGAAATTTGCACTACGAACGAGTTTGTTCCAGATATATTTCAGTCAGTGCTTTTCTCGTAACAGAGATTAGATGGCATCAAGCTGAAGACAGAATCTTTGGAGGCAAGTGCTTAAAGGGGTAAGCAACCGTCTACTCCGGACCTGCAGTCAGTGTCATTCTTCTTGTTTTTTTCTAGATGAATTTGCTTTGACGGCTGACGGAATTCATCAGTCCCGGAATAACGCTATTTCGTCGACTGACCACTTGGGGCTCCATACACCGACAAGGCAACTACTGCATTGGTTACCAAGAGTGTGAAACCGTTTCAGTCAGGTCAGAAGCCATTTATCTGTCACCATTTTGTTCAAGCTTATGAGCATTATGTGCAGATTACACTAACCACCGTTTCGTTGCCGTTCTACTTACATGAAATATGACTTTACGAGAATGCCTTCTAAATTTTCTTCCCATGAAGAAGCTTCCCAGTTGGTACTTTCTTAGTTCGTGAAAATCTTTGATTATGAGCAGCATGTCTAAACATGTGTCGCGTAGCATAGACGGGAATTTGATGGAACAGAAGTACATGACTTAAACTGGCTTTTCAATTTGAACTCGAAGTTCGTTCTTGCTTCAGAAAATTGTGTGACATAACTGCGACACCGCTCTCACTGTGAAGATGTGGCAGCAAGTAATTGGGAGGAGCTTACGGACCATGTTTGATTCTTTCCCTACGAGGCAAGAACAAATAATCCCATTGTGTATTTACTTTTGAATAACTTTGGTTTAACAGTTATCACTCAGAAACTTTTTTAGATTCGAGGGGAACGTAATAACTCAAGCGTCCCTCCTTGTCTTCTTCAGACTTTAATTATGAACGCAATATAAAACTGATGTCATGAACGGCATAGAGGTATTTTAATTTCCATTGCCAATATTTTGAGTTGGACGACTTGAATGGGTGATCGACAGCTTTGCCGTGTGCAACTCGTCGTTAGTGGATAGTGAAAAGAGGCAACAATGGAGAAAGTTCAAGGGAAGGACAGAAACCAGTTTGGCCGTGACGATGTTTATTAACTGACCCTCGCTGGTCGCTGACCTCAGAAGCACAAAGAACGGCCGGCCGGTGGGCAATGGCCTCCTTATCCTAACTGTGGTCGCATGTAATTACGTTTTGTGTGGTCAAGAGGGCGTTAAACCTCGTAGGCCACATCAAGTAGTCATCCGTCATCTCCATTGGGGGTTGAATGGTTCGCTCGCCCGCCCGCCCGCTAACCAACCAGCCATCTGATCGAGTTTCCTCTGGTTTATTCGTCTGGCCTCGTGGAGTGATGCGCCACCGACGTCGGCGACTGATGTCATTAAGTTATCTGCCAGGCTTCAATTTCCCTAATGATCTTTCTGAAGAGAGAACCGGAACGATGCCTGCTACTGGCAGCAGAGACAAGTTTCGAGATTATTTGGCGGTCGAACGAAGGTGGCTTTAACGAGTCGTGTTTGTTGTTCATAACGCAGCATCAAAAGAACAGCTAACCCGATTAACGAACTCTGGCCATTCCGGCTGCCATGCAGTCTCGATCGATGCGGTTCGTCTTTCGCAAAACGCCACACCCCACAGACATTTTCTGTGGTGGAGAGGATTGATTTCTTATGAATGCCGGCCAAAGGGTGGTAACTATCAATTTTTGGGCGACGATTAGAATCGAAAACATATTCCTTGGTGACAGCGATTAGGGATGAGTATCTTGGAAGCTCAAGGAATCAAAATGACAGAGACTCTGAAACAACTCGTCATATAAAATCGATTATATAAGAATTTCAATTGGTCCATAAAACTACGGCACTCTACCGATCTGGCCTCCGGTAACGTTGCAGCTAGCAAGCAATGACTAAAC